GGACAGAACAGGGACTTCTGCCCTGACTGCTGATGGAATGAACCAGGGACTGTGTGAAACAACTGTTGAACAAGGGACTCAGTGAGAACTGGCTTGTCAGACACCTTAACCTTGAAGCCAGGCCCCAGGAAAATTCTGGCCCAGGACTGTCCTCAGCGATCATTCTGAGATGTGCTGTCCCAGAGCAGCAGTCGAGATAAAACTGAAAGAAGTTATATGAGACCAAGGACGAAGCGAGTAGCTGATTAGAAAGTTGCTTGGCCATCTGGAGAGTGGCAACTCCCTCCCCTTTGAGAGTGCCAGATTCAAACTAGAAGCATTCCCCTAGACAATGTCCCCATCTCAGCTTGAGAGGGGGGGCCCACTTAGCTCCTGGAACAAGCATTCCTCCACTGTCCTTAAGGGGGCCCTTCTCAACTCTCAGAGGGACCTGCTTCGTTTTTTTTTAAGTGACTCTATGCTTTAATAAACCAGTGGCTTAACTCTTCGCTGCTGTGTGTGCGTGTGTGCGTGCATGTGTGTCTCTCTAGAATATAACAAACCCCTGGGTTCAGAGCTTGCTAGTTCCCTGTGGACAATCCAAACTTCACAAGACTAATTATTTTATATTTTTGCTCCTTTTTATTTTTTTCTTACTCTAGCCTCTGGGGTCTGGCTATTTGATGGAAATCTGACCATACCTAGGAATTAATCTCTAGCTCCTGCTGAATTCCATGACTTCTCACAGTTCTTCTTTCTCCTTCTAGACAGTTGTTCATTTCCTCCTGAAGTCACATTCTAGGGCTTGACATAATTGCCACGTGCTGCCCTGGTTGGCACCTCGACTCGGTGGCTTTGGCTTTGGGTTTTGCCCTTGTTAGATTCCTCACTGCCCTGAGTTAGAACCCACCCACCATCCCCATCCCTGTGAGCACATTCCCTTCTCCCACTTGGAGAAGGCTGGCGCTATTTGTGATGGCAGTTGCCCCAGCAACACACCTTGTCCAGCAACACCTCCTGGCTGCAAAAGCTCCTGGCCTGAGGCAGGAATCTCTCCCAATGCAATGTCTTTCCTATGGTGCACTAATTAAAATGTGAGTTTCGTCCTTAACACCCCCAGTCTGGCATAAGCTGAGTAAGCTGGTCTTCTCTCTCACCTCTCCAGAACAGCATTATTCTTCTGTTGAGAATATACAAAAATGACTTCTTGTTTTGTGTTTATTAATTAGCTAATGGTTTTGCAAGTATCTCTACCCTCTTCCTGCCTAATTTCCCATTCCTGATTCAAGTATATGTTCCAGGGGTCCGTAGGAAAGTGGTGGAGATGAAAGTCAAGATGGGGGACTGCGGCCTCTAGTTCATTTAGCCCAAGTATTTTTCAATGTTATCTGAGGCCGTAGATGCATACTAGTCTGTACAGCTCCAGTCTCAGAGACCCACAGGGATCGCTATGAGTCAGCCTTGACTTGATGGCAGTGAGCTTTGAA